TAAGAACAAATCTTATATATATATATATATATATATATATATATATATATATATATATATATATATATATATATATATATATATATATATATATATATATATATATATATATATATATATATATATATATATATATATATATATATATATATATATATATATATATATATATATATATATATATATATATATATATATATATACATATATATATATATATATATATATATATATATATATATATATATATATATATATATATATATATATATATATATATATATATATATATATATATATATATATATATATATATATATATATATATATATATATATACATACATATATATATATATATATATATATATATATAAATATATATATATATAGCTTAAAACCGATAAAAATTAAACTGATAAAATAAAGTAAAAATAATATACAAACGATATATAGCGATCATCGAAAGAAAAAAAAACTTTAAATGCACTATGTACATTTTATGATGCCGATGAAAATATACAAAATGCGAAATATTCGTGTAAAAATAAAATTAAAAAATAACATGAGAATAGAAAACTTTTTAAACCACCTGCTCTTTACGAGATTTGTCGCGCCGGAACCGCTCAAAGGTAAATAGTAACATAAAATTACCGCGTATAAATTGGGTTTATCATAAAATACATATTTAGAAATAACACTTTTTACAAATTGACATGATATATTCGTTGACTGTACCTGTACAATTCTAGTCGTGTATTTAAACATTAAAGAAAGAAAATGATGTTTATATTATTGCCATGTTGCAATTATATTAAGAATTATTATTTATAGATTTACCTGACTTGATAATTTTAACTATTTTGTTACATTGAAGTCCAAGAGCTATCACGCTTAATCTATAACCATTTTGCTGTCCTTTCTGCTGTATTAGTTATGGTCTGAATGGCCTTTCTTTTGTTAGCACCTAAGCCATTATCAGTTAGGGCTTTGCATAAGGACCTTGCAGCAAAACATCTTGCACCCACCTCTATTGGCAAACAGCTTGATTTCCATTTATTGTTTTTACAGCTCGTTATTAATTCATGATATTTTAGGAAATTCCGTTCATCGGCTTCCTCTGCATGCTCTTTCCAAGGCACTGTCACTTCCCACATTATTACTTTCTTAACGTTGTTTGAGAAGAATACTATATCTGGGCGTAATGATGTTTGCATGATGTGATCGGGGAATTTTAGTCTTGTTACTAAGTCGACCCTTATTTCCCATTCTGTTGCCAATGACAGAGTATTTGCTATGTTCTTTTCTTTTCCTTTTTTTTTTTTTTTTTTTTCTCGCCAGCTCCGTTAAACTTTATAAATCTTTCATCGAAGTTTAAAGTGTTAGTGCTGATGGCCATACTATTTAGGTTGGTGCAAAAATAATTACGTAATAATGTCGTTTTTGACGTATTTTTTAACGTCAAAAAACGACATTATTACGTCATTATTTTTGCACCAACCTAATAACTATCTTTGCTAGATCCTTTAAAATTTCATCATGCCTCCATTTATACCGGCGTTCTGTTATTGCTGTTTGACAGTTACTTAGAATATGCTTTAAAGTTTCTTGACGCGAGCACAATTGTCATAAGGGCGATTCTGTTTTATACTCTAAGTGAAGGTTAGTACGACTTAGAAGGGTGTCGTATACAGTCTGAATTAGGAACTTTATATTGATATCATTACGCCATATATCAGACCATTTGATTAGCCTATAAATCATGGATTTCCATTTGGTCCACGCACCATGTTGGCTTAGTCCTACCATCTTTGCCACCCGTTTCTCCTCTTCATCCTTACGTACTTCTTGTATTAAAAGGTTCTTTTCTTTATCTTTAACCCTGTCCACCCGAATGGTAGGAAAATACCCTAAGCCCGCGTATCCAGTAGCCACGTCGCCTAATATGGCCTTTTCGCGGAGTCATTCTTTAGCGACATGTAATTCGTTCTCCTCGCTCCATTTCCTTCCTGAATATACTTCAATGCCTGTTCCAGCCACCTTTGGATTTTTGGATAACTTATACAGCATTATTGTTCTAACTTTGGTGACTTTGAATTCCTCTACGAGTTTAGGAAGTTGCAGAGAATTGATATTGCCGTACAGAGCAGCACTAGACAAACTTTTCGGTCGACCTAACCATCTCCGTAGTCGTGTGTTAATTCTTTTTTCTAATTGTTCTGTGTGAGATGATGTGAATTCGTAAATAGACAACACACACATACACACACACACACACACATATATATATATATATATATATATATATATATATATATAGGTTATTTATAGTGACTATTTATATATATATATATATATTATATATTATATATATATATATATATATATATATATATATATATATATATATATATATATATATATATATATATATATATATATATATATATTATAAAAAGTAGTGACTATTTATAGCTATATAGCGAGACTCTTAGCAAAAGCGAATTGAGTCACTGTCGGTCACTGGGCGTGTTTCTAAAATAAATAAATACGCTAAAATCCACCCTCATCCCTACCGTGCGCCGACGGCTTAATGGTTAGAATCTCCAACTGACACCAATTCAGTCGGGTTTCGATCCTAGCTAAAGGCAGCCGGATGTCTAGCCACACTGATGAGCTGCGAAACAGTCTGTCTGTGGATGACTATATATATATATATATATATATATATATATATATAGGGCGTGCTATATTTATAAGTGCTCAATATCAGAGATAGAGCGTGTGTAAATATAAAAGTGAACAGTGAAGTCAACATTTAGAGGCGACAGGTTGTTTCATGCTAGACGCAATCGTCAGTCCACGAGTGTTGTTTTTTCTCGGCTATCTATATATACGGGTCAGTGGTGCATTAAATAAAAAATAAAAATAAATAAAAACAAGGAAAATAATTTAACCCAAATAAATAAACAAATATACGACTTTCGGCAAAATAACCGCCAAAATAGACTACCCACAATGCATTCCATATCACATATAAACCGAATTTATTAAAAGAAGACAACGTGCCTTCTTTCAGTCCTGAGGCGAAAGGGGCTATGGTGACAACATAGCTATTCATCGTTGAAATAAGAATGATCTTGAACAGAAAATCAAAACTATCTACCAAGTGTCCTAAGAAATAAGATTCACCACAAATCATTCCAAAACGAAAAGTATAATCTGTAATTGCAATGAAATCAGCGATGGCACCTAAACTAAATCCATCAAAATTCTGAAAGTGGAATTAATAAATAGATTTTAAATACTTAACTATATGGAGCAGTTATAACAGATTTAGTATTGGAGAGAAGGAATCTGAGGTAGTCTCAGCGAACATCGCAAATTGCTGCTAAGCTGAAACATTAACCCGAAAACTTGAGCCATGTTTTTAAATAGTTTTGTCAGATCGAAAGTTTAATTGCATGCATGCAAGCCAACTGACCCATTCAGAAATATTTAAACTGTCATCTCTATGCAATATATAAACAGCTTTCTCTCAAATCAATGGTTAAAATAGTTTTGATTGTGAGGTGTGAGTTTTGGCGAAGATCTTGCTTCTTCGGAACTCTTGGATTGACATTAGAGATTAACAAACAAAGAACTGTTTCAAATGGCAGAAATCTCATCACTTGAGGACTACCAACAGCAGCAACAACTAAAATGGATATCACATGTAATTCAAAGAGAAAATAATAGATGTTGACGTATAACACTAATCCAAACAAATGACTAGGAAGAAACCCCACTTATCACTACTGGAAAGAGCGATAACAGCTATGATCTTGAGAAAATTGTTTTCCTGAAAAATGTTTCAAGAGAAAGATTTCATAAATCTAAACCGACAGTATTAATGACTGCTCTGTCAATGAATGCCAAAATGTTCCTTATAAGGAAACGGGTAATATTACTATTACCAGATTACATTAGATTGAATTGTTCTAGTTCAGACTAGAGTCAAAAATAGGGATATAGTTTAGTTTTGCTCGAGAGTCAAGAAGATTGATATTGGTTCTGCTTCTGACTCTTCAATATCCAGGCGGTAGGTTGAATGGTTTTCTTTAGGAAATGGCGAGTGGAGAATTATCGGTTTGCATGGGATGCAGTTTGCGTATTTCAGACTCTTTTACTGTTACAAATATACAGTTATACATCTACGACACATGTATATTGTAAAGTATCGAATTGACTTTTACTGCCAGCCGGTCATGCAGTTTTCAAAGAAGAACGATCATGACTGAGACGAAGTATAATATGAATTCATGATTATGTAAATAGATATTTCAGCATGCACGTTACTCGCTGCGCATGCGCGTCTATTGCTTTTATTCATAAGTAGCTTACACGTAGCGCCCAAATATGGAGGTTGTGTTTAAACACGTTCACATTTTAATTTTTATAGTACCTACTTGTTTAGTTTAAGATTTTATTCATACAATTAACTACATATTTACATGTTAAATTAATTGCTTCTTAAATCAGTAAGGGCAAAATATATTCTAAGAAAGCTACGAGGAAACAGAAAGAAACAAAAACAATATATTATCAGCCTGATCATCCCTACTAATAATGAGATATCTGCATTGTTATGTTAAGAGAAGCTATATTCGCTTATTGGCGTCGGCTCAGGCCCAGTGCTGATATCAGTAAGGCATATATATTTATTAATTAGGATAGATCAATATGTGTTACCAATAAATATATAAAGTTACATTTTGTTTTAAATCATAAAATGGATAGTATTAAGTTTTCACTCGCCAACAGGCTATTTTATCCTATGCTTCATTCCCCAAAGCTACTTATATTTTGGCATCGGATCAGAGGGCAGAAGATTTATTATTTTAAATCGATATTACACATGTTTGATTTATAAAAACTATTTTTTGAAGTCATTCGATGTGGTTTTATTCAGAAAAATGCATGCAGAATTGGTAAAAGTTACCAAACACAAGTTGAGTTTAACTAAACAATTTGATAGATAGATAGATAGATAGATAGATAGATAGATAGATAGATAGATATGACAAGACTAAGAAATAAAGAAAGAAAGAAAGAAAGAAGGGGTTCATCATTTTATAGTTGAAATGGTTAGATGTTCTATGCTAACAGTTTCTTCTCCAACACTTCTCGCTTGTAGAACTCACTTCCGGTTTCTTGCTTTCCAGCCATCTTTGATCTTCAAAAATCTAAACGCAATAACAACCAGTATCTCCTCTTCTTAATTACTCTTCTTCTATTGTTCTCTCCCGTTAATATTATTTTCTTATATTCTCTTACATTCAGTAACCCTTTGAGATTTAGAGGCTTTATTGATGTGTTTAGGGTGGGGGGACGAAATGATTAAAAAAGAAAGAAAGAAATAGTGAAAGAAAGACTGATTAGAAAAGAAACAGAAATAACGGAGATTAGCTGAGAGAGAAAATAGCAGGAAAAAGCAAAACAGCTGATGTAAAATTATATAAAGAGATGAGTGAGGGGAAGATGAGCATAATGGACATATCGAGAAAGAGAGAAACATCGGGAGAAAATGGAGATGAAATAGATGTAAACAAAAAAGAAGGGGAGATAATTAAAAGAACGGAAACGAAACAAAGCAAAAGAAGGGGAGATAAGTAAAAGAACTGGAACGAAGCAAAGCATACATGCAGATATACGTACATATATATATATAAGTATATGTGGAGAGCGGGGTGAAAGAATGGGGAGTTTTAAAAAGAAAAACAGGAAAGCAGAGTAATGTGGGAAGGGAGGTGATGTAAAAATATGAAGTGAATGAAACGAAGAGAAGATGACAGAATGAAAAAGTGGAAAACGGTGTAAGGAAAAGTAAGTGAGAGAACTTGAGTCATGGAGAGTGAGGAAAGAAGAATGTGGATAGAAAGAAAGTGTAAAATGAAAGAAGGTGAGAAAGAAATGGATAGAAAAAAAAACGAAAAAGGAAACACAATTCAAGCGAAAGAGAGAAAGTAAGAGAAAGCGACAAAAGAGTCTGAACAAAAGCGGAAAATCAATTTGGGTAGATATGCGTTGGAATAAAGAGGAGGGAACTTGATGCTGGATAAGAGATAGACAGAAAATAAGGAAAGGAGATGAAAGGAAAGAAAACTGAAATAATGAAGACTTTGGCGAGAAAGGGGAATAAAGGAAAACATGACAACAGTTGGATAGGGCAGTAATGAGAGAAATACAGACAGAAATATATAGATGGCATAAGCGTGGTCGTAAATAGTGATATAGAAGAAATAGAGAGGAATTAAAATGGATGTAAAAAGAGTAGACAGTTTGTTTTTTTTAAATAAATGGATGAAGATATCTGAGAAGAAAATGAAGAAAAAGAAAGAGCGGTAAAAATAAAAGAGAATGAGAGAAAACGTTTAGAAATGATAGAACTCGGAAAGGGAAGAGGGAAAAATGAAGCTGATTTTTGATAGAGAGAAAAAGCGAGAAATGAGAGAATAGGAGAGAGAAAACATAAAAAAAAAGACTGATCGATAGTGAAAAAGAGAATGCATAAAAATGAAATAGACTATGAAGTACAGGTATAGATAGAGAAAGAGAGAGACAAAGAGAGAGAAACTATTTTTTGTAAAAGAAACAGTTAGGGGTCTGGATAAAGTGTTAGAAAAGATCTTAATTGGTGCAGAAACAAATCGATGTATATCTAATGTCACTAAAGAAAAAAAAAGCTAACTTCACGATGTTCTAAGAATAATTCATTTATCCTTAAATAAATTTCTAGGAGCTTTCGTCCTTTTTTCTTTCATTTTGAACAGTTATATTTCTATTTTTTTTTTTTACTTGCTTTCTTTATTTTCAAAAAAGGGTTTAAAAAAGTGATTTTCATTTGTCTATCCCATCTCAGCGTGGGGAGCGTGTAGATTTTTTCAAAACAAAAGATCTACATCTGCAATGTATTTCCATTATCATCACGACGTGACTTCCCTCTGCCTTTTCCATAAATATTTTCCTGGAAATTATTCTGCTGAGCTGTTCCCCTTACTGCCTTCATTTTATGAATTAAGGCGTGCTGCTAGACTGGCAACTAAGTCTCATTGTTTTACTCTTGAACTGAATAAATGCAACCGTCAGTTCTATTCGTATAGTTTCTTTTCTCCCCCATGAACGTCACTTCCGATTTCTTGCTTCCCTACATCCTAAGATATTCAAAGATTTAATTACAACGTCAATCGGCATCGTCTGTCTTCCTGAATCCTGTTCCTTTATTGGTCTTTCTCCTCGCTTCTAATCCCTAAAGTCTTCTCATTCTCTTTCACACCCTGCTATGTTCTGCGTTCCAGTGGCATTATTGGCGTATTCAAGGCCTAATGATAAAAAACAGCTTCATTAAAACTGTTCAACTCAAATTCTCATTTTATTTTGGCTTGGTTTATTTTACGGCATATCAACCTCAATAGGTTATTTAATGCCGACAAAATTTTATTCCTGGTAGTAATTTTTCCAAAAATGTATTGCTGGTAAGTTTTTTCATTCAAGAATGTATTGCTGGTAATATTTTTCAAAAACGTGTTGCTGGTAATAATGTATTTCTGGTAAATTTTTTTTTTTACTTCAAAGATTCATTGCTAGTAATAATGATTATACAAAAAACGTACTGCTGGTATTAAAACATATTTTTACACTTTGATAGTGTTTTGACCCCAGATCTACTATTTTCCCATAGCTAGGACCCTAACAGGTACTACCACCCCAGATCAGGGTGGACCTGGGAACATCTGCAATTAAAAGGTGGTTCAACGCTCCTCAAAACCTGATCAGTGGTCTTGCTGTTGGATGTAATATATCGTCCTACCCAGGACGCGGATGTATCCCATTTTTGTTCACAGTTTTTTTTTTTTTGTTTTTTTTTCTGTTTAGTTGAATGTATCTCTACCTGAAATAGATATGCAAAACGACTATGACAAACATTATCTGACGAGGGATCCTCAGAAAGTAATGATTACTGTCTTAGTATCTTAGGTGAAAAAAAAACCTCAAAAATTGATGCTGCTGCGATAACATACTGTTCCGTCTGAAGTCTGAGTTCAGTCTGAAGTCTGGAGTAAAGTCCGTCAGGAGTCAGTCTGTCGAGTCAGAGGCAGTCCGAAACAGAGTCGCGTTCAGACAATTACTACTAAACCTGATTGTTCGTACTAAAACTTTTCTACCTCTGAAAAATGTATATATTCCTGTTTGTAATATATCTGTGTTATTCCATATCCGCCTTAGAGTTCTTCTTTATTGGTTCTACCTTGGGCTATCACCGTGGTACAAGGGACCGGACCATAACACATACTTAACCCGAATGGATTGTAGAACAATGTCAAAGAAGCATGATAAAGGCTCAAAGACTAGTTAAAGTATCAAAAGAAAGTTGACAAGCTATGAATGAACACATCATGAATAGATATAACAAAGAGTGTAAGACTGGCAAGATGTTGTCTGACATGAAACGGCGTATGAGTAAGAGATCAGTCATAAGGTTTATCCGTACAGACAAATTTGCAACCATTAACATTTATCATCATTTGCTGAAAGATCAATTACTGGATGTCAATTCAAATGTCGACAACGATGTATACGGCAAACCAGATCTATGAAATCTGCTGCATCATCATTGTCATTAATGACGATAATGCATAATTAGCATGGACTATTTTCTGGGGAAAATTATTTTCTAGTAGAAAGCTTACTCCCTCCAATAGTGTCAAAGATCTACCTGTATCTGTTATGAGTTCCAAATAAATAAATACGATGCATTACTTTCGGAGCTTACTTCATGTATCTTAGTATATTTCTTGTAAGTGTCTACTTCAGAGATTACCATTAAATACCGCAGTCACTATAAATTTCTCGTTTCCACGGGTTTAAAACGCTGACACTTCAGCATCAGCAATCATCCCCTCATAGTTAACAGGTATACTCTACAGGAAAATACATTTATTCTTATACTTACTTTGAAGCAATGCATTACCTGCGATATGTTTCCCAAAGGCTCAAAAATTATAACGGCAAACGTTCGTACTAAATTCGGTTCAAATAACCCAAACATTTGTATAACACGTCCTTCAGGTCTCTGCAAATGTCTTAGGCTGAATTATGGTTTTCCACTTCAGCAGCGATATAATGTGCCATAATTAACGGGACTTTTACTCACCGACGTTACACTAGAAAGCGTGTCGGATATTACAAATGAGTGTGTAGGAATCCTGTCGAGTCTCATGGCTGTGATTCTACGATTTTACGGGATGATTTTCAACTAACACCGTGGGAGATATTTCTCAATCGACTGTCATCATGAACGCTGAATATTACAATTAAATTCTCATTGCTCACGCTTTCCTTTATGGAAAGATCTCTGTACTGATTTCTTCTAACACCTCACTAATTCTGAGAAATCGTATTTGGATGGAGAAGCATATGGAAGATTCCAGCATAAAGGATTTGCATACACGACGTCCGAAACTAATTAATTTCCATGCAATATTCAATTAGGAAACCCGACAGTGCTGGTTTATGGAATAAGAAAAATCACTTTTAAATGACGACTAGTAGAAAACCGACTATTATTCTGTCTACGAAACGTTAATATCCTCCTCATCCTCTTTGTTGCTGGCACCATCAAGCTCTCCTATGGTCTACAGAACCAAAACCACAGCACTATTGTTGTTCCTACTAAAATGTCTCTAAAATAAAGTAGGTTTATACGTAGTGAAATTGTCAAAGCCACACCAAATCAGATTTAAATTCAGAGTGTTTTGTTTTTTCTCTTGAACTGGTCGTCAAACAAGGCTGGAAAACTCAACATTTCCTACTGATTAATACATACATAACTGACAACAGATGATATTTGTGTAAAACTGAAAGCAAAGAACTTGGCCGGAATTTTAAATGTTCAAAAGACACGGTCATATTTAATATTAGCTTTTTAATATTTTCTAACTACCAATTATTTTTTTTTAAATAATATTGATTTTCAATTTGCATTCATTTTCATTTGAGAAGCATTGAATTCCAACTTTTCAACTCAATGGCGAAAGCCCGTCTAAAGCATGAAGCAAGACAGAATCTGTCCACCAATGACATATGTCTCGATGGAAAAGAGATACGTTAGGGTTTTACTTATGCTTTTTACCCCTTACATTTCATTTCTTTTTATAAACAACTGTAAAATGGCGGTCTGAATTATTGTGTTCTTTCACAAATTGTTATTATTAACAGTGAATTCTCGTGACATATAAGAGAACGGTTTTCCGTTGTATACTTCACAGGTTTGGAGAGTTTTATCTCTCTTGGAATTGTCGTCACACAAGGATAGAAAGCCCAGCCTATTCTACTATTTAACTCATTGATGCCAAAAGAAAAACTGGGATTTTTCCAACATATTTAAGTGAAATTTTCAGTTTCCAAAATAAGTTTGCACTATGAAAAAAAGAAGCCATTAAAATAATCCTATAATCATATGTTGTAAATTTACACGTTAATTTAATCTAATATATTGTGATCATTTTTCTTATAGTTCGTCTTTTCTTGGTTTCAACAAACAGATTTCATCAAATATTCAGTCCATAGTATTCTCAGTATCCTTCTTTAGAACCACATTTATGTTGCTTAGTCTCTTCTTCATCTCTGTATAAATGAACTGAAGGTCTTAAAATCGTCTTTTTTCGTCCCCACAGAGGAAGGAAATACGTATTCATAACTTTCCCAAGTGTGTTTTTTTGAAAATATACTAATTATAGTGATGGTATATGTTTCTTATTGAATGATACCTACTTTCTTATTTGGGATTTTTTGGGTTATTTTTTTTCTTACCTCGAAAAAACGACTTGTATTACCTGTGACAATGCGATAAAAAAAAGACAGGCTGGCATTCCTGGTTAAGACTAGTGAAGAAGGTAAAGCCTTCTCTTCCCTTCTCAAGCGAAATTTCATAAGGAAGCCAAAAACCCTCTTTCCAAGTTATCTCAATTAAATTCAGAACTGTACAATAAATGTGATGTTAATTTAAATCCTGGTGTAGATTCCTACAATTAAAGCTTTGGTCTGCTTTGGTTGGACGACTCATAATTCATAGCGGAGGCAGACGTAAATATGGCCTGAGAGACCAAAACCCAAGCCAGCAACTTAAACGGAAAAATAAGTGAGCTTTTTC